TTTTAATTTTTTTAAAAGTCAAAATTAATATGTTATAAACTCATATATATATATATGGTTCAAACTCCAAGTTCTTGTCTTTGTTTTTATTTAAGTAAAATTTATTTAAGTTACTGATAAACTATTTTATTTTAACAAGAGTATTAATTAGTTTAAGGAATATAATAATGAAAATTAAATATCATTTCCCAAATATTATAGACTAATTAATTATCAATATTAATTAATTTTAAATTTATATAAACAATTAAAATTAAACAATTTAAATGAAGTAGAACTTAGGACAAAAAAAAGAAAATTATTAATGCTGGATGTGCTTTCAATATATGCACTTTTAATTATTTCACACTAAGTTATTTTAGCAAGGGTTAATGCATGGTGCTAAAACCACAAAATATGTGCCAACACCATACCCATGTTGGGTTGCTAACTCCTTTTGCTACTTTCTCAATGGTAAAATAACAAATTTAGTTCTTTTGACCCCTTTATACATGTTGTAGTGCCACATCAGCATATATACCTACATGGACTAGTGGAAGTCCAGAAAGAAACGGAGTTAATCCACTGTAAGATACATCGTTTGGTTTATCTGTTAAAAGAATTTATTTACATTATTAATGAAGTTGAAAATTTTATTTATTTTATTTTTAATTCAAAGATTTAAATATTATTTTGGATAAGTTTAATTTCTTAAAAAGGGTTTCTGCCAGCAGTAAATCCTGGAGGTATCAACATTATTTCATCTCTACCCAATGCCCGTCCCTGTTCAGTACTTGAAATTAAAAGGGGACCATCAAATCTGGGGCCCGACGGGTTCTGCCAGCAAATTCATACTGACACAGATTGGCTTCTTTTGAATCTATCAAAATGTATGATTGATTCAATTGACTAATCTTATATATACATAATATATATATTGTTTTCCCAATTATAATACCTTAATTAATTGATTTCATATCTATTAATAAAAACGGTGTTCAAAGTCAGAGTTGTATTTAAAATTTTACAAGAACTAAGCTCTAAATCCAAGTAGAAAAAAGAAACGTGGACCCTTGCAGGAGAAGTGGATTTATTATTAGTGTAAAAGACTTGCACATCCTCATGTTAAAAGCTTTGAATTTGTTTTCTCCCTCCCTCCCTCATGTCACATCACAAATTTAAATCACTTGCTCTAATTAATTACATGAAAAATAAAAGTAAATAAAAAAAATAGCCATATAAAAAAAAAAAAAAGAAGAAGAAATATTATTTCTCCAAGAGACAAGAGACAATCTTAATTGCCTAATGAGACAGGCATTGGCAAAATAGAGGAAGACAGGAAGGCAGAAGCCGAAGGCTATTTTAACAAGGTCCTCTCATGAGTATGTGTGGCCTTTTTTTTTTTTTTTTTTTTTGGGTTTTCCATCCAAAGAGACCTAAACCCAAGTTGGGTTCTCTCGATATATCAATTTATAACAAGGGGAAAAAGGTTGTTTAATCATTAATTGACAGGATAAAAAGGGGAGAAAATAAAGTTGTGAAAGCCAAATGTGGAAGTGAAGAGGTCTTGCTCTGACCTTTTTAAAACATGGATCTTATATTCTCTCTAGTTTTGTAACCTGAGCCAATCTGCCTTGTGCATTAAAGCATGCCTTTGTATTAATGGCATTTGCAGAGAGAAGTAAATTAAAGAAGGGTTAGTTTGCATTTCTTCAAAAAACCAATAACCAACAACCCATGTCCTTTCAAATTCAAGAAACTTTGCTTTGATATATTTTAAGATGGATTTCACTTTCTTTGACAGCTTCTAGCTGTCTTCCGCATCCTGCTGATTTGAAGTCAGAGAATAATAAATAGGGATTATATACTGATTTTTTCCAGGTGGTGACAAATCTATCTTTAGAACCATTAAGTTTAAGAGATGGTGTTCTCAAAAAAAAAAGTTTAAGAGATGGTGTGGTGTTGTGTAGCTTTCAAAAAGTAAGTTGGGTATATCTGTCCTTGGTAGAAGAAGGCTGTTTAGGGTCAGAGAAAAGGAGATGAAAGTTTCTCTCTCTCAGGTGTGTCCATGCTGTAAGAAACAGAAAGATCTCTATTTTCCTATTTAAGAACTCAAACTTGTGCTTCTTTTCTCTAGTCTTTCTTTCTTGTTCTTCTTATTACCGGAATCTGTAGGAATGGAGCCTTCCAAAATGTTTGGAGGAACAGAAGAATGTCACAGCAGTGAATCTGGGTGGACAATGTATATTGGTTCCCCCATTCATGATGATGATGATGGAAGCAGTTCTGATGCCAAGGCACATGACACTGCTGAGGATGATGGTGGTGCTGATGATGATGATGACTCAGATGCAAATGATGATGATTCTATGGCTTCTGATGCTTCTTCAGGTCCAAGTCATGAGATGGTTCGTTTGAAGCATGAGGAGGATGATGAGGGTGATGATGGAAAGTCATACTCATACATGGACAACAAGAAAGCTAACAAACCAATGGAGAAGCAAAACATGGGAAAAAACAAGAGTCCCAAGAAAAACGACAAAGGAGACATGGCTGGCAGTAGTGCTGCTCCTTCTCAAAGTGGTTCCAAGGTAAGAAAAAGCTTCTGGCATCCCAAGAGAAAGTAGTTTTCTTCTGTGTTCATTTTGGTTGATCTGCAGTATGTTAGCATGTGCTCAAAAAATGTGGATCAGATAAGAAAGTAGACTCTCTCTCTCTCTTTATGTTTCTCGTCATGTGTTTTTAAGAGTTCAGAAGTTCCGATGTAAGCGTTCTTTTTTCTTTTCCCAGATGGAATGAATGTAAGAGTTTAAATCAAGAAACATATGTTAATTTATAGCTTTTGGTTCAAGCTATTACAAGTTGTAAATTTTCCTATTTCCATGCATACATTAGTATAAAAATGTGTTCAGTACTCGTGCTTTTGACTCAGTGGCTGCAGCTGACACACTCTTAAGAATTAAGGAGTGTCAAGGGACAACATTTAGAGCATGATAATGTTTTAAAGTATAACATGTTCATGTGCATTTCAATATGCATATGTACAAGCATTTAAGGTTTTTCAAATCAACAATACAAAACAATGACACATGATGTTACGAGCTTCCAATATGCAAAGAGTGGAGAAGATGATACAAATTAAGGTGTAAAATGGGCAAAAGAACCAAACCGAAAAGATCATTACCAGACAAAGCAGCAAAGGGTGGTGGAAATGGATGGAATCATGGGACAGGCTGCCCTGCACGTGGGGTGTGAAAGGAATTTTAGTAGTTTTCCTTAGATCTTGATATTTCTTCATCGTCCAGTAGCCTCTGCCAGCCCCTACTCACCAACACCGCTCTGGAGGTGGGGGTCCTCACCACAACCAACAATTCAGTTGCTTTTGCCATGGCCAAATAAAGTGTTGGGTTTAGTGGTATAAGACAGATATCATGAAATCACTATTCAATATTCGAGTGCAGTGTGTATTAATCTGGGGTTGGGGACATAAGACAAGGTCCTAATCCTAATGGAAAATCAATGAAGGAAATTGCAAGGAGGAGAGAACTAGAACATGGTATGGACCCTTGGAGGATGTGATTGAATTGGTTTTTGAGTACAGGGCATGTGAGCATTGTTTAGTTGAGGATTAAGGTGTGATGTTTCCTTTTCAAGGATGGGAGGGGGTCAATGAGGTAGTCTTAATTATACATCAGGTCTGGCTCCATTTAGAATAATTCCATTTTCCTACCATCTCCATTAAATATATATAGGTGATGCATCACATATCAGGAGTCGGATTGTTTTTGCAGTAGTGTAAAATGAGTGATGAAAAAGTAGATTGAGAAGACTGTCACTGCCACTAAAAAAGGACGATTATTATTATTATTATTATTATTATTATTATTATTATTATTATTATTATTTAATATGAAAATTTTTTAAAAAGATGAGGTTTTTTTTCAAATAATAAGTGGGAGTAGAACTTTTAACCTACATAAATTAAATTTTTAGACTTAATGAGTGAATCAATAGATCTAATGAACTGATTCAAAGAAAATTATTATTTTATAATTAAAAAAGTAAAAATATTTATGAATAAAAAATATATAAAGATTCATTAATCGTATTTTTGTCTTTTCTTAACCCAACCCGATAATGTTTTATGTAAAACATCAATCTCTTGCATAAAATTTATATAGAAGTTCAAAGGCGAGATGAGTTCAATGCTTTTCCACGGAGGGGTGCTCTAGTTTTGCCACTTGCAAAGTGCTGGTAGTCCAAGGAAATGATCTTGCATACTTTTAACTTTGGTGTGCTTAGAATGATAGATGAGAACTCAAGCCGTAATCATCAATTCTTAATTTTTAATAATTGTTTGGACAGACGTAGATTTTACACATTGAATTAAAAGAATTATAAGGAACTACTTCTTTACAATCTCCTCAGAACATTTGATACTTGTTTAACAAAATAAGATCGAGTTTATCTTTTTTAATTTATTAAAAATTCATATAAAAATATAATTATTTTATAAATTCTTTAATCTAAATATAAATAATTTATAAATTAAATCTTTGAGTTTAAGTGATTCGTTCTCAAATCTTTAAGTAATTGGTCAATTGATCGTATTTTTAAATTTTATTAACATTTTGAAAAATCTCTCTCTCTTAATTTTTAAAAATTGTAAACTGTTTTAAAAAATTATATTTAATTAAATAAATAATAAATTTATTGTGCATGAGGTAACTCACATTATCACATTTTTCCACACATTACCACATACCGCTACACAGATAGAAGTATGCAGGTAAGCATCAACTTGATTAGAAATGTGCTTGTTTCCCCCTAAGAGAGCAAATTTTCAATCTTTCAAGTATTCACTAATGTCATTTTATAAATTACGAGAAAAATTCAAGTTATCAAGTTAATATAAGAAGAAAATTAATTTTATTAAATATATCAAAATAATATAAAAATTTAAATTTTAAGATTCATGAAAATTTATATGAAACTTTATAATTATTTAAACAAAATGAGAGATTTCAAAATTTACCTTTATTAATTTAAAATTATGATACAAATTTTGTATAATTTTATAAAAATATCCTAATAAAATCATTTTATATAATAATCTCACTGTAAAGAAAAAAATAATAACAATTCCCCTAAAAAATCCTAGCAAAATAATTATTTTAAAAAAAAATTTATTCAAAAAACAAATTATTTCAATTTTTTTTTTTTTTTGTTTCCTATCGGTATCTGAGTTTCGTTCCGACTAATTCGAATATTGAAAATGATGAGTGAATCTCTCAACGAAAATTACTACGTATACGTGTCGAAATCAAAACCTTATCACTTGATACAAGATAAATTATTTCAATTTGCAGACTTGGAAAAGCCACGTAATCGGATGCCCATGACAGATGTCATGCTGAAAAGCGTTGACGTGGACGAAACTTCACCGTGTCATCTGATCTCCCCGCCCACTGACCCACCTCTTCTTCTCCACTTTTCCCTTCCAGTGTGCAGCATCTGAAAATGGCGAAGTTACTCCTCCTTCACACCCCTCACTTCACCCCCAAAATCCACCACCGATCCTTCACTTCCATCCTCTCCAAATCCCAAACCATCTCATTCCTCCGCCTCTCCTCCTCCCCTTCTCCGCCGCTCTCCATTTTCCACCCTCCGTTCTCTCCTCTCCCTTCCATCCCATCTCTTTCCTCCCCAGTCATCCAATCCCACCGAAGACTAATCCCTGCCTTTTCATTTTCCTCTCGAGCCTTCGATGATTCCTCCTCCCCTCCTGAGACCCAGATTGAACAAGAATTGGAACACCAACAGAAAGAAGAACCCGACCGAATTCAAAGTGGTCGAAAGACCGAGACTGAGGATTACCCTAGTGGGGAGTTCGAGTACGAGAAGATGGGTGCTTGGAAGAGTTTCATTGTCAAGTTAAAGATGCTTTTCGCCTTCCCTTGGGAACGCATTCGCAAGGGCAGTGTCTTGACTATGAAACTGCGCGGCCAGGTTATCATTTTCTCTTGAGATTTACTTTTCCTGGTGCGCGCTGCTTTGAAAGTGTTTTTCTTGCTTTTGTTTGATTAATTCTTGAAAGAATGGGCTGAGTTTAGATTATTCATCAGATGTTAATTTCAAGTCTAAGTAGAATTTGTCATGTTCTATGACTATTTAGCATGTCCATTTTCACTTTTGGATAAAGCTGTGAAACAAAAACATTGAAGAATCTTGCTTTATATGATTTGTGATGGTGAAAAAAGAGGTTTCATGCAATTGCAAGCTTGGCTCTACGAAGTAACTTGGGATGATATGTAATTTAATATCATTAATCAGTTCAAACCCTTCTCAAGGGTTGGAACATGGCAACATGCTTAAAAGTAACATTCTGATTGGTTCAACTGTGCTCATAGATTGTTAAACATTGGTGATAATACTAGAATTTGTTTTTAACATTTCCATCCCTTTTTATGTTCAGATATCTGACCAGCTAAAGAGCCGTTTCTCTTCAGGACTGTCTCTGCCACAAATTTGTGAGAATTTCATAAAAGCTGCATATGATCCTCGGATTAGTGGCGTTTACCTTCACATTGAACCATTAAATTGTGGTTGGGGAAAAGTTGAAGAAATTCGGAGACATATCTTGAATTTTAAGAAATCAGGTCGGTAGAGTTATTTTCTCACTCAAAATTGTCAGCATTACTGTATCTTGAGCTGAAAAATGGTTTCTGGGCCTTTGGTAATTGAATGGGGGAGACCAGTTAGTTCATTCTTTGCTGTAAAGACAACTGACTGCTTGGACCTAACCACCATGAAGAAACAGCTAAAGCGTTTGGCCCAAACACATTATTCCACGCTTCTGCTTGTGCAATGCTTAATGCATAGTTACTGGTTAAAGGAAAAAAATGAAAAGGGAAGAGGGGGGGCTTGGAATATTGCTTATTATCAGTACTTAGTGTCCTAGCCCACATTTCATGCTAATTTGTTTGTTTTACCCAAACATGCTGTCTATTAATTAAGTCTGTTCATGTAGCAATTTTTTGTCATGCTAATATATTTTTTTATTATTATTATTATTTAACATTTCCATGCATGTTTCTCAAAGATAACAGATTATCAAGTCATTTTAATCCTTCCCACTATGAGCACGTTGATGTTTCCTAAGTTCTTCATATTAGATATTTTCTTTCTGTTTGCCTAACATACTATATGTTATTTTTATTTTGACAGAAGATGTTACTGGGTGATGTTCAATTAATTAAGTTATTCTCGAGAAAAATGAATTAGAAACATAAATTTTAATCTGTTTTGAAACTTGTAGGTAAATTCCTTATTGCATATGTCCCTGTGTTTGGGGAGAAAGAGTATTATCTTGCCTGCGCATGCGAAGAGCTTTATGCCCCACCAAGTGCCTATTTTTCTTTGTATGGTTTGACTGTTCAAGCATCATTCCTTAGAGGTTAGATATTTTCTTTTATCTATTTCTTGCCTTCATTTGGATAGATAGATCACAAAAATTTCATCTGTCTCAGATTTTTCCCTTTTTATTTGAAATATATATATGTTTATATATATATTGCATAGAAAGCATGCACTGGGAGCATGAAGCAAAATTTTCTTTTCCTTAATTTGTTTTACGAAATGTGTTTCTTGCTTGGGATCTCATCGCATGTTTGAAGATGAGGTTCAACACCAAGGTCTAGAGATGCCACTTGGGAGACTATTGAAACTGTCTGACTTGAGTTATGTGATGTATTCCTCGTTATCTGTCATGGAAGATTCTCTTTGTGCTTAATCCTTAGTCCTTACCTCTAGAAAAGTCATTCTAGTTAAGCCCTCCTATATTGATGACAGACTTTGCTGCAATGTAGTGGAAGCTTCTTTGCTTTTCCAAGGAATTTTGTTCTTGACCAAATGCTACTTCTGTTATTCATGTTAAATTTATAGTTTTTATCTTAAGGGATATTCCATTTATCTATTTCCTTAATTGAACTCATCTGAATTTTTATGTAGGGTATTATAACATGGATTATTCCCACCATACTTAACTCAGGCCATCCTCCTCTATATTTTATCTGATAGCAATTATACATAAACCATGATTAAAAGGGTTTGCATCATAAAACAACTAAGATCCCTATGCGGGCATTTCAATTTAGAAATTGAAACTTCTGTCTATCCTTAGCTTGGAAAGAGAGTAACTCTTATGATTGGTGGAGCAATACGTTGGGATAACATGATTATTGCCACCATGCTTAACTTAGTTTGCCCTTCTTCTAGCCTATCATGTCCTTTATGTTTTAGTTTGATGGCAATTATGCATAAACTATGATTAAAATAGTTCGGATCATGAAACTACTAAGATCCCTATGCTTGCATTTCAAGTTTGAAATTGGAGATTCTGTCCATCTCCATCCTTAGCTTGGCAAGAGAGTAGCCACTTTTATGATTGGATGAGGAATAAGTTGGGAGGACAGGGTAAATAAACAGTCATGTTAGTGAAGTAAAATCATCATTGTTTTGGCAGGGGAGGGGAGCTGGGGAGGTGGTCTAAGGGAGTTCCATTTCTAATTAAGTTTTGACAGTTCTCTGCAACAAAGTTCCTCTCTAGTTTTATGGTGACAACTGACAGTTATTAGTTCGCAGCTACTTACCTAACAATAGTTTGGTTGCATTAAACGATTTATTTTACAGGTATTCTTGAGAAAGTAGGTATTGAACCAGAAGTGCAAAGGATTGGTAAATATAAAAGTGCTGGAGACCAGCTTATGCGCAAGAGTATGTCTGAAGAAAATTGCAAGATGCTTACTGCATTGCTAGATAACATCTATGGGAATTGGGTGGATGTTGTTTCTTCTACAAAAGGTTCTTTTTCTATTTTAATGTTTTTATATTGATCTAAACAATTAAAGATGATTCACAGGTTTCTGCATACTTGATTCAGGAAAGAAGCGACAAGATATTGAGAAATTCATTAATGAAGGAGTCTATAAAGTAGAAAGTCTGAAGGAAAAGGGCTTGATAACAGATATTCATTATGATGATGAGGTAGAATCATTATCTGCCAATGCAGTCTGGAGTTAAGATAATTAAATCTGCCACATTTTCATTTACCAACATTGGTGAACTCTGAAAATATGTTTTCATAATTAAATAGTTTTCCTATTGTCAACTGCATTTTAGTACCAAAGTAACAATAACAAGTTGGTCTCGAGATATATTCGCAGATATAGAAGCCCCAGAGAAATAAGGGAGAGACGGGTTTTCAAGACATAGTAAATATCTAGTTGCATTATTTAGTCTATTTATATCTCATAATTTCCACATATAACCTTCATTGTCTGTGTTATTTTTTTCAAAAAAGATTGGGGAAATGATTGGCATAAAGTGTAGAAATCGGTTAACGATGTGTATTATTTTAAGCTAGCTCTCTAGATATTTGTAACAAATGTTCAGATGTTATATTCTGTTTAATGTAACTCTTTCAGATTATCTCAATGTTGAAAGAGAGACTCGGGATCCAAAAGGATAAAAATCTTCCACTGGTTGATTACAGGTAGTTGTTGTGACTTGAAAAAATGTCCAAGGCGTCATATTTCTATCTTCCTTAACCCTAACCCTAACAAGTCTTTTTTTCCTGATAAAAGTGTATCTTAGCATCAAATATTAGGTGTGAATTACACTTCTTTACAAGTTCTAACTTCTAAGGAATGACAAATTGCATATTTCATCGGTTACTAATGCATACAAATCCTAGGAATGACAAATTGCATATTTCATCGGTTACTAATGCATACAAATCCTAGGAATGACAAATTGCATATTTCATCGGTTACTAATGCATACACATGCTAGGAATGACAAATTGCATATTTCTCTATTGTTCTATTATTACTAATGCATACACTTGTGTCTTATGGTCCTATATACTTATATTGAGCTAATCTGTTTATTTCTACAGCTGTGTCCCTCTATATGCTTTCCTTGTCCTACTGTCCAAGTAATGCCAGCTCTTGATGGTTAAAAGCTGTCCTTGTTAAAACTTAAGAATTTTCTTCACTTGCAAGTGTAGGAAATACTCTAGTGTTAGGAAGTGGACTCTTGGTTTAACTGGTGGTAGAGACCAAATAGCAGTGATCAGAGCCTCTGGGAGCATTAGTCGTGTCCGAAGCCCATTAAGTACACCTACTTCAGGTGTCATTGGGGAGCAGATCATTGAGAAGATTCGTAGGATCAGAGGTACACATGGTTTACCTTATTGTTGATTAATGTATAGTCAAAGTTAATTTATATCTATATTTGACACATAGGCAATCATATCCATCACATAAGGCTTGGTACTTGTATAGGCATTGGATATATTTGCTTCATGCAATTAATATCCGAAGCTGTTAAAAGTTGTCTCATTACATGATAACATGCATTTTTTCATTTAATGAAATGGAAGCGAAGTTCTGAATATAAACCTAGATCTTAACATCCTAATTCAACAGCTGTTGCACATGTCCTTGAAACAGTATAAAGAACTGAATAACATGGAGCTTTTTCCTGAATATTACAAGTCCTGGCCTGGGGCAAATTTACGTAAATGTAAAACAAACCCAGGGTAAAAGAAATGCTACCATCTGTGAAGCATTAGACATTTTGTAGAGGAAGGAATTTAAAGAACAGGTGCTTCTGCTGTATCATGGATATGCTTCTGATGAAGCTGTCTCTTTTTTCACCCTAGAGTCAAAACGATACAAAGCTGCTATCATCCGAATTGATAGCCCAGGAGGTGATGCTCTTGCTTCAGATTTGTAAGTGTTACTATTTTTCATTTTTATGAGTAGCATGGTTGGACAGGCAGAAAGGCATGAACTTATTTCCTAGTGTAAATTAATAAAAATGAAAGAATCAATGGTATTTTGCCTGGTCTTGTGAGGAAGACCATGTCATTATTCTAATTTCTCTTTGCATGTTACTGTACAATTTTGGTTTCATCATTTGGACCACTAGCTACCATTTTTTAACCAATTTTTGTGAGAAAGACTACATGTAAATATTTTTCAACTCAGAGAATGTGAGGGGGAAGATGGGGAGAGAAGTTCATGACTATACCCATGGAATTAATGAAATATAAATTTTAGTTGCTGATGCTCTCCACCTCTCATTCATGCTAAGAAAATATAATAATTTTAAAAGATAGAATTTCTATTTATTTAGCTGTTGTTCTTTTATTTCATATTATGTTAAGTGGCTTAAAGCAAACCATGTAAACCTTTGCACAAGTATTTGAAACTTTAATCCTACCTGTTATTCTTGTTGGATTTCTGGCATGTAATCTTGTACATAAATATTAGCTGTACATGTAAGAATGTAAACTTTCACGTTGTTTTTGCTTTTGAACATGCAGAATGTGGAGGGAAATCAGGCTTTTGGCTGCATCAAAACCTGTCATTGCATCCATGTCTGATGTGGCAGCTAGCGGGGGATACTATATGGCTATGGCAGCTGGGACCATTGTTGCAGAGAATCTAACCTTGACTGGTTCAATAGGAGTTGTCACAGGTGAACCAAACTCCTATTAACTCTCTAAAGCCTGCTAAGTACCAACTTTTAGAACCCTAATTAGAAACATTAAAGTGGGTTTGGCAGTAATAAAATCTTCTTCACTTGTTAATTGTTGGCTCTTCTTCATTCTATCTAGAGACACTAAATATAGAAGGATGGTCTTTATTATTCATTTAATTGTTAGCTCTCCTTCGTCTTCTTTTCCTTTTGCCCTTGCTTGCTTGTAGGGAGGTTTAGTTTGGAGAAATTATATGAGAAAATTGGATTCAATAAGGAGATCATATCAAGAGGAAGATTTTCTGAACTCCGTGCTGCTGACCAACGAACTCTCAGGTGAGTGGCATTGAGCAATATCTGGGAAAAGTGTCCTGATTAGTATATCAGATCTTTTGGTTAAAACCAGAGTATTGGACATCACAATATATTACGCCCCGCCTGGCCTTATAATCAGCAAAAAGCTCCTAGGATAGTGCTTTTCTATTTGATTTTTCTTTCCTTTGTTTCCGAGAACTTGAAGTAATTAATTTCAACATTGCAGACCAGATGAAGCAGAACTTTTTGCCAATTCCGCACAGAATACGTATAAGCAATTTCGGGATAAGGCAGCCTTTTCAAGATCAATGAGTGTATGTGTCAGTCACTATTATGGAGAAAAACCTCTGAATTAGTGGCAAATTCTCTGTTATTCATTTTTAATTAAATCAGAAAAACCTGTGAATTCCTTATTACTCTATATTTTACCAGATAGATGAGATGGAAGAGGTTGCACAAGGTAGAGTATGGACGGGTAAAGATGCTGCTTCACATGGTTTGATTGATGCTATTGGTGGGTATTCTCGTGCTATTGCCATTGCAAAACAAAAGGCCAACATACCCCCAGACACAAAGGTTTGGTTCTTTGGTGTTCTTTTTGTTTTTACTGTAAAAAAGTTATTCTTTGGGGGTATTATGGTTAATTATAATATTTGAGAATAGCCTGCACTCATTCAATTTTCATAAGTGAATCCAGTAGCTTCATTATAGTTGACCTCCTTTAGTTGCTTCTGCCTAGAATTTCAATACTCTGACCTCTTGAACTGAGGATGTTGGCCCTTGGATTTTATTGGTACTTAGTTTCTGTGACAGCAAAACTGGTCTGGCCATGCACACATGACTGAATAAGAGACCTGATGTCTCTGACGTTTAGCTGTTGCAGTGTTGCCCTAGGGTGACCAGGGCTTTACCACATTGCAGTTTAGTCCATGAGTACCTACTTTGTGTTAAACAGGTCTGTATTTTAAGCCTTGTAAAGAGAAAAATCTGTTAGATTCAGCATCTGTTCTGCAATCTATGTCTGCTGTGATTATGATGTTGTCATGAAAGTTGAGTTTTTGACCATAGAGGCGGCTACATTGTTTTGAAAACCGGCTATTAGAGGGCATTCACCTTGATCTAGGGTGAGTACTGGACAAGACCAATTGTTGTTCTCTTATCTGTCACAAAGTCAGTCCTGTAAACATCATATTAGAAGATTACCTTTTAAAATGAGGGAATTAGTTAGTGCGAGCTGATGGGAGCTGGGAGCACCTTAACACCTTTACCCAAGTCCAGTTCCTGGTGCCAAACACGGGCCTGATTATCACCAGGCTGGAGGGTGATTGACCAACATATCAGAAGATGAAATTAGGATTGTGCTTTGTCAATGCTGTTTATAAAACTCATTCTAATGCCACATGCTTGACTGTTGCTAGGTTACTCTTGTTGAGCTGTCAAGGCCCTCTCCAACGCTGCCAGAGATCTTAAGTGGCATAGGGAATTCCTTAGTCGGAGTTGACAGAGCAGTAAAAGAACTCTTACAAGACTTGACATACTCTGATGGAGTTCAAGCTCGAATGGACGGAATCATGTTCCAGAGACTAGAAGGATACACTAATGCCAGCCCCATCTTCAGTTTGATAAAAGATTACCTCAGTTCACTTTGACCTCTGAAAGTTACCTCATTTCTTCCTTTTTCTTTTCTTCCATAATACATTTTTTTTTCCTTTACATTATTTTAGATAGATCCTCTATACAAATGCTGGTGAGAAACAGGATCCAGTGATCCAGCCTGTTTCTAAGAAAAAGGGGTAGTCAAATATGGGCGGTCTGTAATGTTTAATACTCCAAAAACCAAAGCATTTGATTATTTGCACATTAAGGTTTTCAAGTGTGAATAAGATCGTCGGCAGAGGCGGCGAAAGGGGGACCCTGAGGGGCGCAGCCCCCCTAAACTTTTAAAAATAAAAATTTCGGTCCATTAAGTTATATGTTTATTATTTCAACCCTTGTTTATTTTATATATTTTAATCATTTTTAATCATTTTTTTTCAAAGATTAATTTTAGTGATTATCCGAAAAATGAAAAAAATAGAGATAAAATAAAATATAGTAAAAAATAAAGATTAATTGAATATTGTTGTACTTGTAATTTAAGATTGAAGGAAAATAAGGGTCATGTGGTTAAAATAGAACCTTGAGAGATTATTTGCAGCTTTGAAGAAAATATTTGAGGAGTGGGTGAAGAAGATCTCCAAAGAATGTTATTCTAAAAATGAGGGAGAAGAATCCAAGGACTAGGAGTGCAATTCCAACAACTTTGAATGTGAAGATACTTTACAAGATGAAACATCTCGCTTTTAGTTTTATATTATTTTTGTTAAAATAAATTTATTAAGTTGAATGTTTTTGAACTTTGACTTTTTATATTTTGTTAACAGTTATATTAATTTACTTGTTAAAAGTTGATTGAGCTTGACACCTCTTAAATTAAAAGTGTCTCAATTTTCAATAAAATAATCTTATAGTCAATTTTTTTTAGGTCATGAAGTTAACTAGATATATACAACTCCTCAACATACTTTCTTGGATATCTTCCCTAAATTTCAAAACAAAGTAACACACAACATTGACAAAAGGTCTTATTCACGGAACCTCTGTATGCAAAGGTATTTGATACCATTGTAGATAAAATTCTAAGATCTCTGTACGTAGAGTTGTCTAAAACCTTTGCAAGTAAAATTTCAAGACCTTTGAGCGTAGAGTTATCTAACACCGTTGCAAATAAGATTCTAAAGCCATTGCATACGGAGTTGTTTAATACTTTTATGCGCAAAGTTCCAAGACCTATGTGTGCAGAGCTACACAAAATACCTACGAAGGAGGAGCTATCTAATAGCTATCCAACACCCCTATATGCAAAGCTATTAAACCCGAAGCTCTACATGAAAATTTTAAAATCCTAACGCTAGGATTAAATTTGAATTTGGGATCTCTGCACTACATAAAGTTTTTCTTGGGCAAACTACGGTTTTGGATGACATCATCAAGCTACAAAAGGAATGCCATTGAGGAAATTGAAGGTACAAAAAAATCTTTGGTTACTTTGATTTCTTGATTGGGGGCAAGTGTTGTGCCTATAATTTAAGGTTGAAGGACAATCAAAGTCACGTGGTTAAAATAAATCATTTAAAGATTATCTGTACTTTTGAATTTAAATTATAGATAAGATTAGTTCGGTGAGGATTTGAGGAAGATCTTTAGGCAAAAGTTTAAAAGGATATCTGGAAAAAAAAAAAAAAAAACTGAATGTTGAATCTCTAACTTTGTACTTCTTCTATAAATAATGAAATCTTGGTAACTCTAATTGACTTAAAGTATATTTAGAATTACTGTGAAGTGTTGTGACTGTAACTATAACTGTAGTTGTGAATGCGTTAAACTGAATTATACTATAACTGTAATTAAAAGTTATTTTGATGTTTTATTATTTATTTTTTAAAATTATTATGAATAAAATATGATAGATTTTATTTTTTATTTTTTGAACGGTTTTGTCATGGGGCGGATTCGAAACCCGCTTAGGGGAGGGGGATGTGCACTTTTCAGTGACTTTAGCCATTGGGCCACACGGGCCAAGTGCTGATAGATTTTATTAATTATTAATTTAAATTTAAAAAACATTGTAAAATATATAATATTTATTTTTTTTAATAATTTAGGTTTTTTAAATTTGTTTTCATTATTAAAATATTATAAATTATGATGTAATTAAAGATATGAAATTGGGTTTGAATGGGTAATTTTATAATTATATTAAATATTAGGTGTTTTTTGTAAAAGTCATAATCAAAAAGCTCCAAAATGAGATTTTTGGGTTTATATATAAAATTATTGTAAATCTGCCATAACATTTTATAACTTTTAGAAAAAATAATCTTAAAAAAAATTATCAAACATATATATTATATATATATATATATTTAAAAGCAATGAACGGCAACATGAAAAAACTCATAATCACAATTCCAAACACACCTTCAGTTCTTTGAGTTATTTTTCAGTAATAACAAATACAAAGTTGTTTAATATTATCTTTTTTAAAATAGTTGTTTATTAATATTTTTTTATTCATTAATACCCTTCTGCTTTTGTTTTTCTGTTTATTAGTATTTTTCTATTTAATATATATTTATTTTTTCTTTCAATTAATGTCATATATATAATATTATACCATCAATTAATATTAATTATTGATAAAAATTAACAAATTTTAATTTTAAAAAAATTTATTAAAAATTTTCCTTTTATTGACCTTTTAATTAATCATGCAAAGATACATATCTTTCTTTTCAAAAATTCATTTGGCCCCTTACAAAAAATTTCTCGCTATAGCATTGATTGTAGGTAGGAAGAAAGTTCTATTATTGGACGAGGTGTCATCTATCATAGGATGGGGATACCAGTTGATGTGGTATCCCCGTTGTCTCCCCGTTGTCTCCATTTAATCGACAGGTACCCCATTGAACCATCACTTTGACCATAATGAATGGTCTTCACATCTTAATATTTAGGATTAGTTATTCAAAAATTAGATTCTCACTAATTATTTGAAAATTATAAATTTTCATGTTAAAAAAAAAAAAAAAAAGGTATTCCCATCAATGACGAGTTTCCCTCTTTCTATTATTGGATGTGGGATATCCCCATTGTATGGTAGACTTTTTTGGTAGGGTATATTTGGTTGAAAACTAATTACTTCAGGAAAGATTGCGTTTAGTGAAAGACTAATTTTTTTTAGAAAAAATTGATTGAAGTACCATACTAAAGTTGTTAAGTACTTTATAATGAAATTTTGTTAAAATTTTATTGGATTGTTAATTTTGTTATATTTGATAAAAAAATTGATATGTAAGGAAAGTATATAAAAAGTTAGTAAAAAATATTGTTAAGTAAGTCTCTTATAAGGAAAGTTGAGAGAATACTTTTTTTCTTTAAAAAAATAGGAAGAGAAGTTTATGTAAAGTGGATAGGAGTATCCTTAGACTCTAATAATAATATTAAAATTGATTGCTGTTCAAAAAAAAGGGGAAAAAAAAAGGGTTTATGTGTTGGGAAATATGCCAAGGAAAAAAAAAAGTTAAAAATATCTCTTTTATGTTTTATTCATTATAATTTTAAAGCATATAATATCTTTACAAAATCTCAAATGGGGACATTTCTCAATAAAGTAAAACAAACAGCTGTCCTAAAAAGGAGAGATGAGAGGTATAGAGAGAGAGAGGTTGGGGTCAGAGATTACAGGGTAGACGGTTAGCACAGGCATATGAGAGGTATAGATTCCAGGATAGGGATCGAACTATAAAGGAGACTCTTAGCAACCACCCCATGTCCTGGAAATGGAGCCAACAAAGCACTTGGGTGACATTAACAAACCAATATACGCTGAGGTTGTACAAGGTGATATCAGAAAGAGGGGAGAAGGACACATGAATAGAAGATGTGAGAGAAGAACAAGGCAGAGGAATGGAAGCAAAGACATCAGCACCTATGAAGGCCAGCAGAGGGAATGGCAACCAAAGCAACAGCACCAGCACTGGTCCGGTATAGAGCTGAATTTTGATCAAGGAGAATATGCATGGTTGAAAAAGTGTTTTGTTGGTAAAGTACATTCAGTAAACTTGATCCCTAACCTGCAAGAAAAATTCTTCTTGGAAGGAGTTTTCTATTGCAAGATCACACCTATGGAAGGCAGATTAGTGCTATTAGAAGGCAAAGAGTATGAGGATTTGAAGGAACTGGTTGATAGGGGAAAAGACTGGATGGGGCAGCGGTTTGAAGAGGTGAATCCTTAGTCCCCTTCTGCGGTTGCTACAAAGAGGTTTGCTTGGATACGATGTCAGGGGCTACCAGTGCATGCTTGGAAATTTGAGACTTTCCAAACCTTTGGAAGGTTATGGGGAAATCTTATATCCCTAGACGATAGCACAAGCAGCAAGAAGAGATTTGACGCTGCAAGATTCCTAATCTCTACTCCATCTTCAGAGTCAATCTCCAAGTCTATCACAGTAAAGATTAATGGCGAGTTCTTCATATTGAAGTTCACAGAGGAAGAGTCAACTAATTCACTCTTCACCATGAGGTCGGATAGGGTATTCCATGCTCCAAAAGAAGAAGAAGATGAAGAAAGCAGTTCCTTAGAAAGCCAGTATGAGTTAGATTCAGTCAAAAACATGGATCTCTTAGAGCATGATGAGTGTCAGATATCGGGCGATGAAGACGGTGGTGGCAAGGAGGCCACGGAGGATGAACTAGCAATCCAGAATGTTGTCGCCAGTGGCAGGAGGTTGACAGAGGATGATCTTGCAGCACAGCTTGATGAGGATCAAAACAAGATCGAGGTGACAAGACATGATGATGAGGTGGCCAGCTACAGCAAGAAGTTGGAAGGCACTAGACGAAAGGTGGGTGAGATAGTTTTTACCAATACCGAGGTGGTTGAGGAAACAATGGGTATGGGTGAATCCAAGAAGGGATTTCAGAATCCAAATTCAAATTCAAAAAATCTAGAAGAGGGGGATACAAGAAAGATTATGGAGGATCTAAAAATGACGGCTAATAAAGCTGGTCAAGGAAATTTGGAAAATGATAGCCAACTCAGTACCAATGCAGAGAAGGGGAGCCTCGGCAAGTCTAATCAAAAAAGAAAAAATACAACAAAAGAAGGAAGTAGAAGTAGTGGATCAGAGGAAGAATATGACAGAGATTTAGCTGATGGGCCACCAACAAAAGAAATGGGCCTACAAGAGGAGATGGGGCGAAGGGTGGTTGATCCACATAAGCCACCACTTGCAGGCCCAGCAGTGCAGACGGAGAAAACTAATAGCAGGCCAAAAATAAAAATCAGACAAACTGTCTCCTCTTTTTGGGATGACCTCGATAGTGATCTTGATATCCCTGCACCTTGGATGAACAGCAATGATGGGTATGGGAGAAGAAAAAAGAAGAGAAAAGCGAAGTCCTGTGCCTCGGTCTACAGGAAAACAGGGGGACTAGAAGGCATCCTTGTTCAGCAAAATCCAGGGCAGAGAAACGCATCAATGAAAGCAAAAAAGGAAATTCTGTTCGAAAAAAACTTAGAGAAACCGGTTGCAGATGACTCGATCAATGACAGCAACATCCAAAATCGGAACAGAAGCATTGAAATGAGAAGCAAAAAAAGGAACACGGAAGCTTTATGGTCCCGAATCAAAGAGATGGGGGTAACGGCACAAGGAGAGGAATCAGTGGTGGTACAGAAATTAAAAGAAATGGAAAGCTGTGACAAGGAAAAATGGAGGAAAGAGGAAGAAAAGAAACACAGAAAAGGAGATCAGGTGATGCCACACTTCCCATGATTTTATTATCCATTAATATTAGAGGATTAAGGGGGGTAGGAAAAAAAAGGGAGATTCGGGAGTTGATTGTCAAACATAAAGCTGATGTATTGTTTATTCAAGAAACGAAATTGGAGTCTGTAGATAATCGGCTATGTAGCATGTTGTGGGATTTAGAAAATTTTTAGTGGGTAGCTCAATCTGCTAATGGAACATCAGGAGGAATATTAATTATTTGGAATTCTTGTGTCTTTAAGAAGATTAGTAGTTTTCAAGGGGCAGGATTTTTGGGGATTCAGGGGACTTGGGGAGAAGAAAATACTCCTTGTTATTTGGTAAATATCTACTCTCCTTGTGATTTGGTTGCTAAGAGATCCTTATGGGAGAACCTGTCCAATACAATCTCCTCTCATAAAGGTAATTGGTGCATAGCTGGGGACTTCAATGCCATCCGAAGTCTTCAGGAATGAAAAGGAGGTATCAGTATCAGGAGGGAGATCAGGGAGTTTAATGAGTTCATTGAGATGAATGGGTTGGTGGACCTCCCTATGATAGGGAGAAAATTCACTTGGTACCAATCGAATGGGCAGTGTATGAGTCGCTTGGATAGATTCTTATTCTCTGAGGAATGGCTACTTAAATGGACAGACTTGAAGCAATGGGGGTTACCTAGGTCTCTGTCAGATCATTGTCCAATTCTGGTGAGGGATGAAGCACACAATTGGGGCCCTAAACCATTTAGATTTTATAATGTGTGGCTTCAAGATCCTGCATTCAGAGAAATGGTTGAAAATCAGTGGAATAATTTAGATACTCGAGGATGGGGAGGCTTTGTGTTGAAAGAGAAGTTAAAAAGATTGAAATCTAGTGTGAAGGAATGGACACGGAATCATGTGCAGGTGGTGGATAACCAAATTGAGAAAGCAAAAGCCAATTTAGTTGAACTCGACTATAAAGGGGAAGTACGATAGCTTAATGAGTCGGAATGCCTCCTCAAGAGAGACCTAATGGTAGCTCTATGGGAAAATATTCAAACTAAAGAGGAAATGACAAAACAAAAATGAAGGATGACATGGATGAAAGAAGGGGATGCAAACACAAGTTTTTTCCACTGATGTATTAAAGGCAGATGGAGAAGGAATGAGATTAATTCCTTATCAGTCAGTGGGAAGGTTTTGTAAGAAGTCAACGAGTTAAAAGAAGGAGTAGCCGAATATTTTACGAATCTTTTCGCAGAGGATGGATGGAAGTGGCCAGTTTTAGATGAAGTGGGTTTTAACAAAATTTCCGAAGCTGATAAGGAGCTCTTAACAGAACCATTCCTTGAATCAGAGGTCAAAGCGGCAGTTTGGAATTGTGATAGTGCAAAGGCTCTAGGCCTAGATGGTTTCAGCTTTGGGTTCTTGAAAGCAGAATGGGAAGTGATCAAAGAGGACATTCTAAAGTTTCTGGCAGATTTCCATAGTAACAGCAGATTGGTGAGAGGCTCTAACCCATCATTTATGGTGCTGATACTAAAAAAGGAGAATCCACAAGGAATCGATGAGTACAGACCTATATCCTTGATAGGCTGTATGTACAAAATCCTTGCTAAAATCTTAGCCAACAGATTGAGTAAGGTCATGGATGGGCTCATAGGTGATCAACAATCAGCATTCATCAGAGGGAGACAACTAGTTGATCGAGCAGTCATTGCAAATGAAACGATTGACGAGATTAGAAGAAAAAAAGTGAGATGCTTCCTTTTTAAGGTCGACTTTGAGAAGGCATATGACAATATCAGCTGGGAGTTTTTGGATAACATGCTGGAGAGAATGAATTTCGGGTCCATTTGGAAGGGATAGATCCAAGAATGCCTCCGATCAAACTCGGTCTCAGTTTTACTCAACGGTAGTCCAACAAAGTGTTGACTCAATGCACTCCAAGAGGGGGGGTGAATTGGAGTTGGAGAATTTTCGCCTCTTCGTAACCACCAAACAAAAATTAAAGAAAGAGTTGAGAAGAAGAGCTTGCACAATGATTTTATAGAGGTTCGGTCCAACCACTTGGAGCCTAGTCCTCT